AAACACGAGAGAGTGCATCTGGCTTGACATTTTGTGAACCGGGTCTAAATGACAAGGAAAAGTTAAAACGAGTGAAGAACAAAGCCCATCTTGCCTGACGTGAGTTCAGTCTCTTAGCTTTTCGGATGTACTCAAGATTTTTATGATCCGTCCAGACTATGAATGGTTGCTCTGACCCCTCCAGAAAGTGTCTCCATTCCTCAAGCGCTGTTTTGACTGCCAAAAGTTCTCTGTTGCCTACATCATAGTTGCGTTCAGCAGGTGTTAACTTACGTGACAGAAAAGCACATGGGTGAAGTTTGCTGTCCTTGGCTGAACGTTGTGACAACACAGCCCCAACTCCATCATTGGAAGCATCCACCTCCACCACAAACTGCCGTAGTGAATCAGGAGTGATGAGAACAGGAGCAGAGGTAAACCGTCTTTTCAATTCCTGGAAAGCTTTGTCGGCCTGTAGAGTCCACAAAAACTGAACATGGGTTGAGGTGAGTGAGTGGAGAGGTGCAGCTATGGAGCTAAAATGTCTTATGAAACGTCTGTAGAAGTTAGCAAAACCGAGAAATTGCTGTACCTTCTTCCTGTTGGTGGGTGTGGGCCAATTTGCGACAGCACTGACCTTGCTTGGATCCATCTTGACCTGGTCCGGAGCAATGATGAAGCCCAGGAATGAGACAGTGGTCTTGTGAAATTCACATTTCTCCGCCTTCACGAATAGTTGGTTTTCCAGAAGGCCTTGGAGGACCTGGCGGACATGCTGAACATGGGACTCTTCATCAGGAGAGAATATCAATATATCATCCAGGTAGACAAACACAAAATGATTCAAATATTGTCTGAGCACGTCATTCACAAGAGCCTGAAATACAGCAGGAGCATTAGTTAGCCCAAATGGCATTACTAAGTATTCATAGTGGCCACTGGGGGTATTGAATCCAGTCTTCCATTCGTCTCCCTCCCTTATCCTGACCAAGTGATAGGCATTCCTCAAGTCAAGTTTAGTGAAGATCTTAGCTCCTTTTAACAGTTCAAAAGCAGTGGAAATGAGGGGGAGAGGGTACCTGTTTTTTACCGTTATATCATTCAGGGGAGAGTAGTCTATGCAGGGTCGGAGGGATCCGTCTTTTTTACCCACGAAGAAAAATCCGGCGCCAGCAGGAGATGACGATGGACGAATGAGGCCCGCCTTCAGAGATGAGTCAATGTAATCCGTCATAGATTGTCTTTCAGGACCAGAAATTGAGTATAGACGTCCCTTGGGAATGGGGGCACCCGGTAGTAAGTCAATTGCACAGTCATAAGGTCGATGAGGAGGCAACGTAGAGGCCCGAGTCTTACTGAAAACCTCCCTCAGGTTGTGGTAACAGGAGGGAACATTGGGCAGTTCTGGTAAGTCAGAGGCATGGTCATGAGTTACTTCCTTCGTCTCCACCTCACTACCTGAAGTAACCCTTCCTACAGACAGCCCTTCAACTTCTCCTGGTGAAACCAAACATGTATGATTACATTCTCTTCCCCAACCCTTCACCCTACCAGAACGCCAGTCAATGTGAGGGTTATGTCTTTTCAACCATGGGAAGCCTAAAATCATAGGGTGTTGTGAGGAGTCGAATAAATGGAATGTCATGAATTCTGTGTGGTTGTGATTTATGATAACCTGGACGGGTTCTGTGTGGTGAGTGACTTGAAACAATAATCTTCCATCAAGGGCACTGGCATTTAAAGGTTGAGCTAAGGGCATGGTGACAATGTTCAAGCTTTTGGCAAAATTCCAGTCCATAAAACTTTCGTCTGCTCCTGAATCAATGAGAACATTCTGTGTTAAGGTTTTCTTACCTAATTTTACTTGGATAGGAGTCAGCGTACGAGGAGAGTAGTCAGAAGTTAGTCGGCTCACCAGCGCCCTCCTCTTGCCTGGGGAGCCCCGTCTTTTAGTGAGCAAGCGGCCATCAGGTGTCCACGATGCCCGCAGTAGAAACACAGGCCCTGGCGGAGGCGCCGTTCCCGCTCCTCCAGTGAAAGTCTTGCTCGGCCAAGTTGCATGGGTTCCTCTGATGTGGTGGATGGCGTTGTCAAAGGAGGCTTGATCCAGACCCCTGGAAACGAATCCTCCCTCATCCGGATGCCACGAGGAGGCCCCCTGGAGCTTGGTGAACGAACTGCAGGATGTTCTCTTTCTTTTTGTCTATCCCAGAGCCTATTATCTATTCGTATAGCCAGAGCAATCACAGAGTCTAAATCTTCTGGAAGATCTAATGGGACTTTGACAAGGCCTGAAAGTCCATTTACAAAGGCGTCCAGCAAGGCCAGATCATTCCAGCCACTGTCTGCTGCTATTGTCCTAAACTCTATGGCATAATCAGACACTCTTTGATTTCTTTGCTTGAGTTGAACTAGAGCTTTAGCCGCTTCTCTCCCTGGCGCTGTACGATCAAAAATCTTTTTAAGGGAATCAGTAAACAGTCCGAGTGATCTGCAAAGGGGAGAGTCTCTAGCCCATTCTGCTGTAGCCCACGCTGCTGCTCTACCAGTCAAGTGTGTTATCATGAAAGCTATTCTAGACTGGTCTGTTGGAAAAGCAGAAGGCTGATGTTGATAATGCAGGTCGCATTGGACTAAAAAAGGACGACAGTCACCTGAGTCACCGGAGAATTTCTCTGGAGATGCGAGACAAGAGCATGAAGAAGAAGTAGGTCCTTGGATCACAGCCTCAGGCAGGGGTGCAGCCGCGGAAACAGTTTGAGATCCAGCTTCCAGGTGGGCAAGGACACGAACAAGCTGATCTGCCAGGTGGTTTACTTGGCTGTTCACAGATGTTTGGAAGCTTTCTTGACGACCACTCAATTCTCTCACTCCCTGGTCAATTGATTTCAGCTGATCGTCATGCTGAGACAAAAGCGTGCCTTGTGAGCGCAGAGCTGCTCTGAACCTGTCTGGGTCGGCTGGGTCCATTCTTTGGTCAGTTCGTACTGTTAAGAATGTCACGAGGCTCAGGACCCAAATGCACAACACCAGAAACAGATTAGAATTAACAAGGTCTTTTAATTAAGGTCAAATACAAAACGCTCACTTGGAGGATCAAAAACTCTAAACCAAAAAACATCTACATGACTATCAAAAATATACTTCACACGATCAAGGGATGACTGGCAGGCTTGACGAGACAAGACGAACTGACACAAGACAAAGGGAGACGCAGACTATATATACACACTAGGTAAGGGGACACAGGTGGCAACAATTAAGGGAGGGGCTGACAATCACACTGGTGGGAAAAACACACCAGGGCAGGAATGCTCTGAAACGAGAGGGAAAGGTTACTACAAAATAAAACAGGAAATCACAAGACAAGGCAAAAGACAAAAGGACTGAACTAAATAAATTAACTTAACACAACTGTCTAGACACCACACAAAGCTCACCATTTTTGACATTTCCAGAGTCAGGGTTTGTTGGTTTATTACAGAGCAGCATACACATTAGGGCTGAACGATATACCGTGTCATGGCGATAACCGCGGTATGCGCATGCGCGGTATTCACACCGCAGGGACGTGCGGTTTTATTCATTTTTTAAAAAAATGCTAACGCACTTTAGCACAGAATTCAAAATAAAGATACCCTTATTACTTATCGAAACTGCACATACAATATATCCGATTAAAGCTGAGACTCCACAGATTATTTAAGTATAGTATCTAAGCGATCCGATCTCGCAACAGGGGAAGCAAACACAGACATCACAACACGTACCTTTTACGGAGCTTTTACGGGAGATCGTCTCACCGTAGCTGTCAATCTGATCAAAAGACGTGTTCAATGGCATTAAAACGAGAAAGAAAAAACGCGGCTGAATCGGTTGATCCATAGGTTGATAATGTATATGTGGCTTTGAATTGTTTATAATCCATAATTCCATTTTTATGTAAAAATCGGAGCACAAAAGTTAGCTGCTAATGGTAGTCACCAGAGTGTATGCAGCTTTCGGTTTTGGCTACGCGTCACTCTCACTCCTTATTTGTTCACGTGTTGGTGTGTGTAGAACTTCCCCTGCATGCACAGCAAACCACCAATCACAATCATTCTTGATCAGATCACAGCAGGCCCCGCCCCGCTAGTTTGCAGACCATCAAAACACTGGTAAAAAAATAGCGAGGCACTCCAGGACAATACCGGAGAAAATGGAATTATGGATTATAAATTAAATCATTTTTTTATACAGAGACCTTAAAAACCTATGGATTAACCGATTCAGCCGCGTTTTTTCTTTCTCGTTTTAATGCCATTGAACACGTCTTTTGATCAGATTGACAGCTACGGTGAGACATCTCCCCTAGAAGCTACGTAAAGGTACGTGTTGTGATGTCTGTGTTTGCTTCCCCTGTCCGAGTTCAGATCACTCAGTGATGATACTATATACCTAAATAATCTGTGGAACCTCAGCTTTAATCGGATATTTTGTAAGTGCAGCTACGATAAGTAATAAGGGTACTTTTATCTTGAGTTCTGTGCCAAAGTGCGTTAGCATTTTTCGCTCAGGGGTAATTTAGATGCTTCTTATGAGACTTGTGTTTTGTTTTGGTAAAAATGGTTTGTATCGTCAATTAGCTGAGATTATTTCCGTTAATCTGGTATAACACATTAATAGGTTCTTAAATATTACGATCCCCTGAGACACTGTCGTGAAAAAAAAAGTAAAGTACCCGCCGGGATTTTGGGGTTTAACAGGTTAAAAAAAACGCGATATATACCGCAGAGGGGGGGGGAAATCGCGATGTCCGTTTTTTTCAATACCGTGCAGCCCTAATACACATGAATGCCACTTGCATTAGCACACACATTCCTTGTGAATCTATGCTGCTGTTGTTGTTCAGAAGATGCTGTGCAAAGCTGTGCTGGCTGATGAAGATCACTGACTCATCAGGATAGGGTTTTTTTCTTCCCTTTTTTTACCCTTTGTTAAATGTCATTTGGCAACCCTCATTTCTAATGTGCTCCTTTAACATGGGTGAGCAGAGCGTTATGGTAAAGTGCTTTGTAATTACACAGAGCAGTAGTGCCTAAAATCCACGATAAAGCACTGTCAAATGTCGTTAGAAATCTATTTGAACCGAATTGTAACATCTATATAGACTGAAGGATACCCAGTTCAGTCAGTATCTAGTGTGTATTGTATTATATGCACAGTATCACACTTTATTACATGCCTGGCCTCCTCTGGCACCTGGAAGAAGCATTGTTCACCTCCGGCTATTTTCATTTCACTTCAGATTCAGAGCTGCCCCAATTCGCAGAGTTCAACAATTCACAAATACAGTTACTGTATATTTTAACAATACTCCTTAAACTCATGTTGCTGGCGATCAATGACACAGATGACTATCCCATCTTCTTATTTAATCCAATAAAATAATAGATGTTTCTCGTTATAATTATAACGCCTCCTCTTTGTTCTTATCAGGTTGGACAAGCTAAATGTGGAGCAGTGTGGACCCCAATAAATCAACAATGTGGCCAACCACAAGCCGCCACTCACACAGCCTGAGATCCAGAACAATGAGCTGAACCGCTTGGATGACCGTGAGCGGGCTGCAGCGGTTCAATCCGCCTCAGCAGAGGAAGACAGGAAGTTGCGCGACGCAGAGCGCTACGGCTTCCAGAAGGACGGGGCAGAGCGGGAGCGCCCCCTCACAAAGGTCAACAGCATCAAGCTGCAGCCGGCCCAGGCAGCGGCCGTCAAAGCTAACCTTGCCGCGCCGCAGACTCCCACAGAAGTAGACGGGTTGCACCGCAGCCCCCAGGTCAACGGATCTGCTGAGCACTCTCCAGCTGATAAGACGGGAACCCCCCCTCAGCAGTATACCCCCCCTCAGCAGTTTACCCCCTCTCAGCAGTATACCCCCTCTCAGCAGTATACCCCCTCTCAGCAGTATACCCCCCCTCAGCAGTATACCCCCTCTCAGCAGTATACCCCCTCTCAGCAGTATACCCCCCCTCAGCAGTATACCCCCTCTCAGCAGTATACCCCCTCTCAGCAGTATACCCCCTCTCAGCAGTATACCCCCCCTCAGCAGTATACCCCCCCTCAGCAGTATACCCCCTCTCAGCAGTATACCCCCCCTCAGGAGTTTACCCCCCAGGAGCCAGACCGCTCCTCCCTGAACAGAACCAGCTCCATGCAGCAACTCAAGCAGTGTGTCCGCACACAGAGAGGACGCAGCCAGGATGACGACACCAGGAGGTTGGTTTGATGATGTGGTCTTTTGCAGTGTCAAATAAAACATTCATATGCTCATTATTTCCTCTCCAGATATGTGTGCTGTAAGAGGAGAACATATGCCAGCACAAGTTGATTTAGGTTACTGCACAAGAGTCCAATCTTGTCCTACTTTGACAACTAGGATTGGAACTTGGCTAAACTTGGTGCATTCTATAAATGACTATAAATGTGCTGAGTCCAATTTTCCAAAGCTTCGTTGACTTTAAACAACTCGGCTTTAAAAACGAATGGGTCTGAGGACTCCACTCACTCCATTTAGAAACACCTCTGTTCTGAGCAATTCATGAATGTTAAAAGTTGTCATGGATGAATCAACAACGAGGTCCTTGGTCCTGATCTCCGTTAGTGTTCCTCTGAAAAGCATGTTGACTCTCACCCCATCCTGTCGCCGTTTCAACAGTCTCTGTTTGTCGTCACATGACATGCATGTCCTCCTGAGTGATCCTTAGTTTCCATAAAGTCACAAGCCTGTTTGAATGCCTCTGGGTTTTACAGCCCAGTAGTCACTGTCACTGTTTGAACAGGAAGCTCTCTTGATGCCAGCTGCACTGGCTCTGTGGAAGAGGAGCTTTGTTGTCACTGCAAAGGTCTTATTGGTCCTGGGGGGGGTTTAGAGTGAAGCGTCCCTATTGAAGACTAGACCAGAGGTGATTTGCAGATACAAAGTTTTAAAGAGGCAAATAAAAAACGTTTACCGATTTTCTATTTTATAACATGACATTGAGTCAAACTATTTGAAGAAAAAAAATCTGAGTTACAATTAACAACTTTATCTCAACCTCCAACATGGAGTCTATTTTTTGTTGTTCATTCATATCTTATTTGACCTAGTTAACATTCATTTATGTATTCATATTTTTATCTCTCCAGTTTTTAAACGATATTTTTGGTTTACTGTCCTATAGTATACATTGAAAACACCAACCCCCCCACCCTACACACAAATACAAAAACCACACTTGCTTTAGTTATAATTCAACAAACATATTTTAAATAAACAAGTAGCTTCCACAGGAGTTATAGAACTATTTTAAAGAACACTTAAGAACACACGTATTGTAATAATAAATAAATAAAATAAAATAAATGAAAAAATATTAACAAATACATAAAAACGATTTATACAAAAAAAGAACAATTACATTTCTGTTTTTGAACACACATATTGTAATAATAAATAAATATCTTACTGACTTGTTTGACTTAAACACTCAGAATTGCACTCGTCTTGACTTCTTTGCTGCAAAGTCATCGATAACATCCTCATATGACAGCTGACGAGAAACATCACTGTTAATGCTGATGATGGCAGGCATTCTTGGACCATTGTAGACCATTGTAGGTTTTAATTCACTTCAGCTTTGAGAAGCTTCTTTCTGCTGAAGCCACTGTCACTCGCATAGTGACTGCGATCCTGAGGGCCACCCACATATTAGGATAAACCTCCCTCAGGTTCTTCCTTTCCAAGAACACCAACAGTTCCAGGGTGGTCATTGTGGGTGAGGGGAAAGTTGGAAAGTGCATCAGAAAGTTGGAAAGTGCATCAGCTCCAGTGCCAACTCTTTTCCATCTATGTCTGACTGTCCGCCAGAGCTCAGGGTGTTGCTCAGTGTTTGACAGCTCGTTTCTGGGCAGTTCGGGGAAGTTGACAAGCACCCCAAACTTTGCCTGAACTTCTTCCAGGTGTTCAAAACGCTCATTGAGGGAAGTGATGCAAACATCAACCACCCTGTTGAAAAATGTAACTTCCATCTTTTTTAGGGCATTGGCCATTGGCTCATCAGGTGCTTCATAAGAGAACTGCCTCTTGGTTGACCTCAGCCTCTTCTCCTTGAGGACAGCATCCACATCCATGTTCTCACACATGTCTTTAGCACTGATCTGAGCAGAGGCAAATCCAGTGGCTCTGTAGTCTTCCAGGGTGGCCTTTGTCTTTCTCAGGAGGTCAACTGCAATGTCAAGTTGCATTGACACAGACTGCATGACCTTACTGACCTGTTTGACTTTACTGAGGATGTGGTACCACACCACAGTGCAAATGGAGAAGCGGTAGGACCCCACTTCCTCAGCCAAAGACTGTGCCTCTATTTTGATCATCATGTCAGTGGCCTTGTCCCTCACCTCCAAAAGTGCATCTCGAACATGTTGAGCCTGATATCGCACAGCTTCCACACTGTTGACCCGGCTCTCCCACCTGGTTTCAGACCATGATTTCAAGGTAGTGGTGACATGGCTCTTCAAAATGTCCCAGCGCTTTGTGGATGCTGAAAACAATGTAAAAAGCTTTTGGAGGTAGCCAAAGTATCCAGTGGCATCTAGGGAGCTTTTCGCTGCATCAGCTAACACCAGATTGAGAGTGTGTGCGCCACATGGCACGAATAGTGCCCTCGGGTTTAGTTCAAGTAACCTGGCCTGAACTCCTTTGTTTTTCCCTCGCATATTGGCACCATTGTCATAAGACTGTCCCCTACAGTCCTCAAAGGGGATGTTCAGTTCTTGGAGCCTGTCCAGGATGAGGGATGACAAACTCTCGCCAGTTGTTCCTTAACTTGTGGCATCTCCTCCATTGTAACAATCCTTAAGATGACTGATAACTGCTCTGTGTGGCTAATGTCAGGTGTGCAGTCCAGAATGATGGAATAATATTTAGCCTTCTTAATTTCTTCAATCATGTGGGCACTGATTCTCTCACCGATACATTCAATGAGTTCATTTTGAATATTTTTTCCGAGATATGTGGTATGGCTTGCACCCCTTTAGCAACGTGTTCTTTCATTACAGGGTCAAACATTGCCATCAGCTCCACTTCTTTAAGGAAGTTGCCATTGTTGGGTTTGTTGAGTGTGTCACATGTTCCCCTGAGGCCCATGTTTCTCTCAGCTAATGATTGAATGATGGCGACCAACCTTGTTACCACCTCACGCCATCTCTTCCTTTCTATGTCTGTAAGCGCCATCTCAGTCCTATCAATAGTTTGCCCCTTTTGTAATCGAAACTCTAACTCTTTCCATGATTCCATGTGTTTAGTATGTTCTGGAGTGTTCTCGTGTGTTTTCAGTAATTGGTGGCAATTTTTCCAGTCATTTAGTCCTGCACTGATTAATTTGTATTCCTTCTGGGAGAACAGCTTGCAGCAAAAACAGTAAAGGCTATCGTTTTTCTGTGAGTACAATAGCCAGCTTCTCTTGATTCTTTCCCCATTTACCAGTTTTCTATAAAAGTATTGGTGGTGGCAGCTTCTCCCATCCTGTCTTTTTGGGGAAAATGAAGTGTGGTTTTGCCTGACAGGGTCCTCTGCTCACAAACTCTGTTCTTACCTTATCAGACATGGATGGCCAGTCGGCAGGGTCAACAGCTGCTGCCTTTGTGGCGTCACATGCTGCAGACTGTGTTGTGGTACTCGGGACCAATGTCTCTCCTGCAGATTCTGTAGCAGCAGGTTCACTTGGGACAGGTAGTAGTGATACGTTTTCACCTGCAGACAGTCAAACATGCATGGATACAGTCAGACACCCACTGTGTGTGTGTGTGTGTGTGTGTGTGTGTGTGTGTGTGTGTGTGTGTGTGTGTGTGTGTGTGTGTGTGTGTGTGTGTGTGTGTGTGTGTGTGTGTGTGTGTGTGTGTGTGTGTGTGTTTTTTACATTAACATGTACATTATTAGTAATATAGGTGCTATTGTAATGTGCAATAATAAACTAGAAAACTGTGGTACTGTGCTGGGAAGCTTCCAGGTGTGAACATGTGTATGAACCAGAGATGGAGTACTCGAGTCCTGGACTCGGACTCCAGTCGGACTCGAGTGCCGATTTTCGGGACTCGTGACTTGACTCGGACTCGCGCACTGATTGATGCGACTCGGACTCGGACTCGTGAATTCTCACGCACGATGACTTGGACTTGGACTCGGACTCGAACACAGGTAATGATGACTCATACTCGGACTCGGCTCGGACACTCCTTGGATGACTCGGACTTGGACTCGGACTCGAGCAAGTTTTCTCTGGAGTCTGATGTCCTCTGTGTCCTGGCGTGTGCACCTGCGAGGCGAGTTCACGTACTGGGCGCGCCCCCGCTGCTATACCAGTCTAAAGATGTCCAGAGACACACCCCGCATCGTGCTGTATGCTTTTAAAGATTTAGTTTCCATATTGGGAAAGAGCAGCACAAAATGCACATTATGTGGACAGAAGATAGAAGAGAAGACTGGGACAACGTCGAGTTTCAATCGACACCTTTCACGGCGGCACCCAGAAAAGTAAGTAGAAATGCTATTGTTAGCTTGCTAACCCACGTTAACGTTAGCCACTAAATTGACTCCACAAAGGTTTTAAGATGTCGGGTTAGATGGAGGTAGGGGTTGATATCACATCCTAGGGACCAAGTGCAGTTTTATTGTCTAGATAGATACTGTTAAAAAGCTATACATGTCCTTGGTGATACTGCAGATGATGAGTAGCCTAGCCCTAGCCTACAATGAACGTGAAAATTAGAGACTGAAAATGATCTCCGTCACGGAGGCTCCATAACACATTACTCTAAGGATGGAGTTCATATATATATAGGTAGGCTGTATTGAACACTATCATCAGAGTAATGTGATCAAATCAATAAGTAAAGATTCAGCCGATAACATGAAAGCACATGGCTACTTAACATACAGAATGTCATCATTGTGCATGCTAAGTAGCAATATGCTTTCTGGGGCTTAATCTTTATTGATATCATTTAAACGTTCACTTATTGGTTGTTGGATATTGTGATATTATTAAAAGCAATGTAGAGGAGCTACAGCTACATTTCAACACATATATCCACTAAGATTAATACATGAAGACTTGTGACTCTGACTTGACTTGGACTCTTCTTGGGTGACTCGGACTTGGACTCGGACTCGAACACAGGTAATGGTGACTCGGACTCGACTCGGACTCGGACACTCCTTGGGTGACTCGGACTTGGACTCGGACTCGA